CTCCACTTAGGAAGGAACAATCAGTTTCACACATACAGAATGGGAAGAGACTGTCTAGGAAGGAGTACGGCAGAAAGGGATCTAGGGGTTATAGTTGACCACAAGCTAAATATGAGTCAACAGTGTGATGTTGTTGCAAAAAAAGCAAACGTGATTCTGGGATGTATTAACAGGTGTTTTGTGAGCAAGACACGAGAAGTCATTCTTCCACTCTACTCTGCACTGGTTAGGCTTCAGCTGGAGTATTGTATCCAGTTCTGGGCACCGCATTTCAAGAAAGATGTGGAGAAATTGGAGAGGGTCCAGATAAGAGCAACAAGAATGATTAAAGGTCTTGAGAACATGACCTATGAAGGAAGGCTGAAAGAATTGGGTTTGTTTAGTTTGGAAAAGAAAAGACTGAGAGGGGACGTGATAGCAGTTTTCAGGTATCTAAAAGGGTGTCATAAGGAGGAGGGAGAAAACTTGTTCACCTCTAAGGATAGAACAAGAAGCAATGGGCTTAAACTGCAGCAAGGGAGGTTTAGGTTGGACATTAGGAAAAAGTTCCTAACTGTCAGGGTGGTTAAATACTGGAATAAACTGCCTAGGGAGGTTGTGGAATCTCCATCTCTGGAGATATTTAAGAGTAGGTTAGATAAATGTCTATCAGGGATGGTCTAGACAGTATTTGGTCCTGCCATGAGGGCAGGGGACTGGACTCTATGACCTCTCGAGGTCCCTTCCAGTCCTAGAATCTATGAATCTATGAATATGCAATGGAGGCAAAACATCAGCTTTGTCATTGTGCAAATCAAATTACCTTGTGCCTAATCACTTTTTTTGTTTGTTTTTACTCAGTCACAAAAGTGCAAATGAGAGTCTGATCACATCTGCCTTTGAAATCAGAATTTTATTTGACACCCTGTTATCTTGTAGGGTATAGGTAAGCTTGGTTTCTTTTTTTCTTTCTTTTTCTGCATGCTGGCTCTTTTGAAGGGAAGTGGCTTTTAAATAGGAGTAGTGAGAGAAGCAAGGTTGAAGTTCTGCAGAAATCTTCAGAGACTTCCTACTCTTGCAATGAGACCAAGCGGTATCTGTAACAAAAGTATCTTTGGTGGTAGGTTTGTTTAATTTTCAGCTCAGTGCCCAGGTTTGTTTTAGGTTTACAACTACTGTACCTTGCAGACTTTCACCTAGCCAGGGATGCTTGGAGCTGTTCTATGAGAGAGGCCAAAAAGAAAACGTACTACTGCTTAAATAATTCATATTGGATTTTTTCCCCCAAAACTTGACAAAGTGACTGCAGCTACAGTAGTTTTTATTTCACTTACACTGAAGACAAAAGAAATTATTTCTATCTTGACCTGCATTTTAATGTGGAAGGCAGGAAATTGTCATAGTCAATTTTAATTCTGAGGGGTTAGATGGTTTCATTGTATATGAGAGTACTTAATCACCAGGTGTTATGTTATGGGAACTAGACAAATGTTATCTCTTAGAAAAGGTATAATAGGAGCTTAGCACTTTGAGGAATTCTCAATAGGAACTGCAGGGTTTCAGCACCTTTGAAAATCAAGCTGCGTCTGTTTAGGAAGTTAGACTACAAAACTGTATTTAAACTGTAGGAAACTAGGTTGGAAAATATTGGTCTAGGTATGCATGTAAGCCTGATTGGGAATGTTCAAAGCAAATCAGTATAGTGCCAGTGGTGATGCTTTTGAGTGTCTGTATGTGGAGCTATCCCTCATACCCAATGGAGTGGCCAACGTCGATGCTCCCAAATTCTTAACTTACAGACATAAAAACTCTTTTGCAACTCAAAATACAGAGTTTGAAATGTTAGTCCTCCTACTTGGATAAAACTACCTTTTTTATATTGACTTTATTGGTCCCATCACAGCAATAATTTTAAACAATGTATTAGTTTGCGGGTGTGACATAGTCATGACTTTTTTTCAGTGATTAAATGGTGTATAGATATATTTCTGAATAGATTTCACAAGTCTATGTGGAAAGTAGAATACCATTAATTATTTACCATAGTGTTAAGTTTTCTTTTTTTAATGTATGAAGCTGAGGTCTTGTTAATGGATCACTAATGTTCTATCTTTTAGTCATCTCTAACGCTACCATAAGAGTCCTGAACCATCTGGCACTTGTGCATCTGCCGATTCTATTTTGTGTGTAGACTGCACTTGTCACTTACAAAAACATTAGTAATGCAGCAACTGACCTGGAGCAGTGACGACAGTGATTTTGGTCGTCTAAAAATTCCAGGTTGAGATTCTTGCCTCCTGGGCTGCTGAAGATGGGACATGTAACGAAGGGGGACATATTTTAAAACCAGTGGGGATGGCTGTGCCATTGCAAAGCAATACATAGAGGGATAATGGTGTAAGCCACAGAGCAGGGTTGTCATTGTATTTTCTAAGTCAATCATTAATGGGCTCCATTAATGCCTATCTGGGGGATATTGAGGAATCTAGTAAAATGTGAAAAGCTCTGCTCAGCAATGGCATTTTCTGAAAATCCTGATTCTCTTCAGCCCTACACCAGATCAGCACAGAACACCAGCCTTGGATAGCTTTCTTTCAAAAGTATTCTTTATCCCAGCAAATATACCCAAACTCTGTTATTCTTTGGGAGTATCGTAGCAGAGTGTGGACTGTTTGATTAGACATTAATTGTAATCATTTGAATTATTACACTTCTATTTATAGTTTTGACTTTCTGCCTGAACGTTCACATTTCTAGATAATACCAGAAAAAAACAAATGTAACAGAAAAGCCGAAACATTCTGATCATCAAGAGGAGAATCCTAAATCCGAGATCTCGCATGCCTCCCTCTACTTCATCTTACAACTCCTCACATCTTTCCATTTGTTGCTTTCTCCACCCCACCCCATTTAGAATCTGACCATGTGCCTGCTTTGGCACTTCAGACATATCACGTTAAAGATTTCTTAGTAATGATTCCTAGTTATAATGAAAGGATTACAGAAAATGTGATAAAATTCCATGAATGGATTAACTATTTACTGTATCAGCGTGGTAGACCAAGTGTGTGAATTGTGCCAGTATTGTGCATTTATTTTAGTTTCTTAAAGCTGGTGGTGGGAAGATGCCCTCTATTTTGAGAGCCTATTTGATATCCAGTTACAAAACTGATGGTTTACTTGAAACCAAACAATGATTTGTTCTATCGTGTGAGGAACCAGAC